GAAGAATTGGAGAAGAAGAATTTGATTGCACCAGATTTTGGGAAAAAACTTGGAACTTCAAATCAAGAATTGGAAAGGAAGGCGGATTTGCCAACACTTTAAAAATTTCTCGAATGTTTCTTGAGAAATATTAATTAATTATTTTGATGAATTCTCATGAATCGCATTTTTACTATGAGACACAACCCTGTAATTCCATAAAATAGTTGAGGATTGTCTAATACAATTTCACACCCTAAAAACCGATTCAAACATTTGTTCATTACATAATTGAAGTGTTACCTCTTGATTTTTTTTAGAAGTTTGGTGTTGAGACCAAAGATATTTGGATTTGATGACAACATGACAAACTCTACACCAGTTCATCATGTTCAATGTACTTACATTTACAAATAGGATTAATTGTCTGACTATAAGAAAATATTATGAAAATTTACACGTCAATGAATTTTTAGTGCTTCTAGAGATAAATTCAGTACAAAGATATGAAAATTTCCCCGACGAAAGTAATCCACATTGGAACTAAGTTCATATGGACAGTATAAATAATAACTAAAACAATTCATCTTTTTCTATCTTAATCATTCCTCACTATGACAATTCTCATAATATTCAACAATCATGATTTGTTTACATGAACTAACGAAATATCACAATTCTATGATCTTGTCAAGACAATGAACTAATTAAAATAAAAAAGAACTGATCTAATAAATCACATATATAACTTAATCAAGGTACTTAATGAACTGCAACATATACCTTTAATCTTATCGCCTCCAATATTGAATTAAAATATCTTTGTAAAATCCTACAAACAAAATTGAATTAGATTACTTCAATTTCATAAAAAGAATAATTTTAAAAAATAACTCGAGCACATGGAATTGTCTTGAGATCTTCGAACGATGAGATTGAGCAACAAGCAATTATTTTAACTGTCATACGTTTAAAAAAGTACACACACAACCAAATAAAATAAAACAACACAAAGGAAAAATATGCCATCAAAAGAAGAAACCACATAATCAATTCAATTTGAGAATAAAACACCCAGAATAAGTTGAAATTCATACACTCGCAAAATAGAAAAATGCTTCAGCGCAAGAAATAACTAAAACTTTTAGAATTATGTATAAACCCCAACAAAATCAAAAGCAAACTATAATAAAAAAAATTGAAAAAAAAAAGTTGAAACTTCACCAAAAAACTATGGCAATGGAATAGAAGAAAAAATGAAACACAGGAAGTATGAAACGAATAAAAAATGCGAAAAAACCATAAAATGGGCAATATTTATACACATGTTGAATCAAATTCAAAATCCACAATATTAGGCTGTCAACTTTATGAATTTACCTCTTCATTGAGCAATTTGTAGCAATGATTGTAATTTATTGTCCTTCCATTATAGTTGGTATAAAGCATAGAAACTAATTAGACTTACCAATGGCTGCCTGATATCATCGGAAGAAAACCTAAGACGTCTTCTTAAATCTTATTTATTTTCCGCTTTGCCTTCAATATCATAAGCATTAATTAAAATAACATCTCATCTTCAAATTATTTTCAAATTAATGTAGCCAGTGAACACCAGACTTAATTGATATAATTAATTAAAATAACACAAGTGTAATTGATATTACTTTACTCCCTAGTTCAAACTATCAAAATAAGTTTGACATGCAAGTAATTACAGCCTTCCAAATAGGAACTACCAAATCCATGGGTATACCATGAAGTTACAAAGGTTGTACCTATGAACCAACCTCCGAAGAGAGTCTCTGGCCCGACACTACACAAATACGATCTAGGTGTATATATATATATATATATATATATATATGTGTGTGTGTGTGTGTGTGTGTGTGTGTGTGTATTAAGAACAAAAATTGCAGATATGCTCAATTTGATGGAATTGTTTGATCTTAAAGGAGATCTTCTATAATTTCGCACGTGAGGGAGTATTTCTTGGTTTCGTCCCGTCATTAATAACTTGTACTGACCCCTAATCGAATTATTTGGGATTCAGAAGTGAAAGAAATCATTTTATATACTAATAGTGGTCAAATTGGCGTATTACCAAACCATGCCCCTATTGCTACAGAAAGGGGGGGGGGGGAAGCTCTCCGTTCCTGATTCTCCTGTAGCTAGAACTTCTAGAACCACAAGAATCCTTAGTTAGAACGGGATTCTAACTCAGCACCTTTTAAGTGAGATTTTGAGAAGAGTTGAAGTAGTACCGTGAGGGAAGGGTGAAAAGAATCCCCATCAGGGAGTGAAATAGAATATGAAACCGTAAGCTCTCAAGCAGTGGAAGGAGCCAGGTCTCTGATCACGTGCCTGTTGAAGAATGAGTTGGTGACTATTAGACAGTGGCTATCAATTAAAACAAAAAAATCCAACTATTTCAATTCACCATTAAAAGACAAATGAGGAATACTATTGGCATTATTAAGATTAACAATTGTCAGAAAAAAGAAATGAAATTAAAACTAAAAATTAAATATTTCAATTCACTATTACAGACAAACGAGCTTATTAACTAAATGGTACATATTAACAGCTGTCAGAAAATAGAAATGAATATTTTTCAATCCAAATCTGAATTATTAAATCCTTAACTCTGACTTAAGAATCGAAGAAAGGAATGGGTTGTATGAGTTCAAGACTACGCCTAGTAAAATTAATCAATCACATTACCTTGAAGTTGGCAAATGACGCGGCCAATTTTGATGATATTGTTTATGATGTCCTGAGAGAGCTTATAGAAAATTGTTAGGCGGGGACAATGAGAGAAGGACGACAAAGGGAAAAAAAAAAGAAATATTAAAATGCATGGAGCGATATGCTCCGTGCAACACGCTCTGTACTTTGTGCACAGAGCATATCTAATTTTTTTTTTTTTAAAACTCGAATGGAGCCATAATCATTTTTTTATTTTTTTCCTATTATTTAAATTAAACTTGAAGATAAGTCATGCATGCAACCACTCTTTACTGATGATTAACTCAAAGAGAAAAAATTGAAAAGCTCCGTGTGTGCACGAAGTCATAATTAATTTTTTATTTTATTTTAAAAACTCGAATAGGTACGTGCATGCACAGAGCTATAATTTTTTTTTCTTGTTATTTAAATTAAATTATAAGATAAGCCATTTTCTTTTTGCACGTAACTACTATTTAATGATGATCAACTCAAAGAGAAAAATTGAACAGCAGAATTCAAAAAATAAATAAATAAATAAATGGTTATTTGAAAGTAGAATAAACATATACTTACATAAAAATTACAGAGATTCTGATTTAAAATGTTTGCTGATGATATGTGACCATGGAGCTGCTCATCTTCAGATGTATAAACAATTTGTGATGGAGAAGTTTTTGGGTCAATCAATTTTGGACAGAATTGGATTGAATGGAGATATGGTCGTGCGTAAATAAGCTTTTGGGTCAGGATTTCATCAGATTTTGGAGGTATAATTTATGGGATTATGGAGTGGGATGAGCAGATGTTTGAGGGGTTGCGTAAAGTAATGGAAGAACGAAAGGGGAAAAAAAGAAGAGGAAGACGATGGGAAATTGTGACATGTGTCCAACCAATCTTTCGCTATTTTATATATGTAGGATATGCGGCACCAATATGATATTATTAAACATTTGTTTTACAATACTCAAGATAAACCAAAGACCCAACCCGATCCTATCATGTTTGTTGGATAATTGCCTCAAAAGTCAAAAGTTAAAGGATTTTTATTGCAAATAATAAAAGGTAATGATTGTATAGAAGACTTCTAATTAAAGTTGAGAGTAGAATTCTTGCAGTACTTGGTCTCCAATTTACATTAGGTTTTGGAGTCTTGTACATGAAGGAGTCATTTTTTAAGTTGAAAGGAGTCACTACAAGAAATTGATGCTTTCCCTACAAAATTTACTTGTAGGGAAAGGTTCATATTTGTAGGAAAAAATCTTTGCAGACGAAAAATTTTTGTAGGCATATTTATGGGCAAACATCGAGGGAAAATGTATAAGACAACAAATTTTCTAAATTTGTGGGCTAAGGTTTTTCCCTACGAACCCTTTGGACACAAACACAATTCGTCGTGTAAGTTTTTCCCCAGCAAAATCATTCATCTGCTAAAGTTAATTTTACCTACAAAACAATTACGCTTTTCCCTTCAAATTATGTTGTAGGCTAAATTGTGTTTTTTTCTACAAATAAATTTTGTGGGAAAAGAATATTTATGACAACATGGTACATATTATTTTGTGGGTTAAACCCTATTTACAAAAAAAATTGTGGGGAAAACATAGTTGTATGTTATTTTGAAAGAATTTGTAGGAAGAAATTAAATTATTTCATATATATTGCTTATATTGTAGTAATTTTTTTTAACCTTATTCAAAATAATATAAAGAGGCCAAAGACTATAAATTAATTAAACATGTATCAATCAATGTAATATTGAATCCAAAATATTTTACCAAAACACAAATATAACAAAATTTATAGTTCATCCAAATCCAAATTATATAATTTTCAATTTACAAGCATCCAATAAAAGAGTCAAAAAAGAATTAACTAGTGATTCAAAGAAAATATAGTAAAAGAATACAAGGCTCTGAGCTAATCATTAGCAAGCCTGCTTTTGAGTTATGTAGCTTGTAGCAATGAAATCACCTTGATGCTTGTGAAGGTGGATTAAGTAATAGATAATACATCGCCCCTCTAACTGTTTATTGACCAGTTCATCAAGAATATCTTGCTACAATTTTTCAATAAACCTATATAAGAAGGAAGTTTTCTTAACATTCTATAACATAATATAGATAATAAGAGAGAAGACTCAGCATTTTCACACTATTTTAATCACTCTTAGAGTTGTTAAGGGATCAAAAAAATACGTTTAAAATATAGAATGAAAATGTCATGCCGTTATAAGATATTATAGTTATAGTTATCAATTAAAAGGCTGCACCTGGGAACTTAAGAAAGAAAGATGAAATTACTTCAATCCAACTTTATCTTTCTTTGTTGAGCATAAGATTTTGTTCGACAACTTAAAATAGACATACATTGCTGGAATAATAGTTTACCAAGAACAGAACATCACCATAATCAACCATGTACCTTTATAAATGCCAATTTGATCTGGTTAGGTACATTAATATCGTAAATGGGGGGTTTGTAGGGATGCCTGCACCCACTGGATCTATGATTGGTTCACTGTCTGGTTTCACTGTGTGTCTTGACAGCATCATAATAGAAATCCTCTATACGCGGTGCTCCAGAGATATCCTTCCTTTATAGAGGATAAAAAGAAAGATGTTGGATCCACACGAAACAAAAGAACATGATTCTTGTACATCTCAAATTATTTCGTCTGGGTACCATGCCCCTTATAAAAAATCTTACGCGTTAATAAAATACCATGCATCGGGAAAACACTTTACTTTAGCAACCTTGGGAACAAGAGCTTTGAAGTTATCACAATGCAAAATCGATGCTAATCCACCGACTGAACATCCAGACAGAATGGCCTACATAAGAACACTCAAGTTAACAATAGCAAGTAAGATTACAGTTTAAGTTGGAGGAAAAAACATAAGAGAAAATCATACATTTTCAACATCCTTCATTCCTTCTTCAAGTATTTGGCCAAATATATCTCTGGTACATGGATGGCAAAATCAAAAGAGAAATACTTTGTTTGATTGCCAACAATGCAACAAGAAGAAGATAAGTTTTATTCTATATAATTTAATCAATTCCATTGTGATGTTTGTTGATCTCAACATCATCATTTTTACTATGTTTCAAACATAGTCACTACACTTTACTTTGAACATAAGTAATATCAACCAAAAAACCTTATGCTCTTATCACAATCAGCATACAAACAAGAATGTAGAGAAATTTTTGTAATCTTCCATTCATCATTCTGTCCAGATTTAAATGGATTCACTATTAACTCACGAAAATAACATGGGATTCCTTTTTTTTTTCTTTATGTAAAATGAAGACCTAACAGCTTTCCAATAATTTTTTAACTTATAAATTAATGTAAAATTTTAATCATCATCTACTTGATTCATGAAACCAGCCACGCTTAATTTCTAAATAGATTAAGTTTTCTTTGAAGTTTCCCATAAATGTAAAATTGAAGATTTCACGAGAATCAACAGTCATTTTTAAATTTCCCCTTGAAAAAAAAAAAAAAGGGATTAATGAAGAACGGTTTTAACCTCGAGGGTTTTGGCAGTAGAAGGCAAAGATGATAATAATTCAACAAATAGGTTACAGCATGACATACAAAGAGAAGATTTAAACTTGAGAAATTACCACCTCCTCTTCTCACTGTGATGAACACTTAAAACGGCTTGCTTCCATGGAGAATATTCCTTATTTGAGTTGAAATTAAACTCTTCTACTTGATTGTTAATCCTGTAAATAATTGTTGTATTTCATTATTTTGGGTGTGGCATAAAAGTTAATCAGAGAGAGAAATATTGTGAGCCTAGCACCTTTAGAATTTTCATACAAAAAGTAGAAAATGTGTGTTAAAGCTTGATTTTATTTTTCTTTGTAATACCTAGGAATTGGGTTAGTAAGTGAAATTCTATATGGTTATAACAATTTTCATATAGTGAAATGTTTTAATTGTCCGTTTAATTTGTGCATTGTATTCTTTATTTTTCCTTTTTTGCTAATATTTTCTTGAAAAACAAAAAATCCTACGAATAGTTAGAAATAAAGGGAATTAGCGTAAAATTTCTAGCAATGCTAAGTGAGCAAAGTGGAATAATCGAAAAAGAGAAAAACAAGATTAATTTCTAGATGAGAAGAAACACAAGATGGCCTCAAATAAATGTGAATTTTTCAATTTCGTGAGTCATGAAAACTATGTAACCAACCTGCAATGCAGAACTGAAAAACACAGAACGCAGGGCAGAAAGCAACTAATGCAAGTCATTTTGCTGTCGCATCAAAACATGTAATTAAGACCACGAACCTACTTGATACCAACTCATGGTGATCTAGCATGCAGTTACTTAACTCTCAAGATCTGACATTTCTATGTCAAACCAAGGACAGAATAAGAAGACAGGCAAATTATCTCATTTTTATTCTAGTTCAAACTCATAATATTCGCAACTTAAGCTCTGCCTTCTCTTGTTGATTAAAATTTTTGCTCTTGAGAAAACAATTACCTCCTGAACTCTTCTCGGAAGAATTGTGAGAGTAAGTTCGATTATTAAACAAAATATGTAGAAAAGGAGACATGCATGATTCCCACTAGAAATTAAATTCTGTAACACATAGAACATGAGAAAATGAAAATAATAAGTTGGATACACAAGCCATAAAAATCACTACAGTATTTGAAGAACCTAATAAATCCCCTAAAGACCAGAACCTAAATTCCTCAACTCAAAACATTATACCGAATGACTCAATTCACAAAAATAAACATTATCACTGAAGAAAAGTCTTTTAACGTAAACAATTTGGCACATACAAACGCACACAGAGTCGGCGAATCTTGGAAAAAGAAAAATTTTAGACTTTCAATGATGCTCGTACAAAGAAAATCAAACCCGTAAAGCTATGCTGCCTATGCATCAAAGAAATGAACATTATACACGTGTAAAGGTCAACCCTTTTAGATCAGAATCAGATGGAGCAAAAAATAAACAGTAAACATTGCACCCTTCGACCACCGAAAAATACAATTTAAAAGGTCAAAATAAAAATAAAAGATCCGAAAATGAAGTTAAACCGTATGACAGCAACGACAACTTTTTTACTGTGCATAGGGAGGGCATAGGGAGGTGGCAGAATAAGCACATCTGGGGATCTGATTTGAATTTTGCTATTTTGCCCGAATTTTTTTGTCGTAGTGGTTGATATCCTCTCAAATGCTATTGGTCTTGTGTGAATAAAAAAGTTGAAAAAAAAGTGTGGTCCCCTCCATTGTGAGAGCTGAGCAGCTCCTTTGTCAAAAAAATTCAGGCACTATAGCGGAATTGATCTGATTTTCATCTAAGAAAGCCAAATCGTGGGAAAAAAATTAAAGTAGACCGAAGGTAAACAGCTTGTCAGCCACAATACAACCCAAGAAGTCAACTGTAACGAAGAACAATAAACAAACCTTGTTGATTTTTTTATTAGGGTTTGTGTTGTATTTAAAGTGGATCTAAGAAACGGAAGAGACAAAAACAAAGATGAAAAATTTGACATGACAGATAGCAAGAAAGACAGATAGCAAGAAAGCAAAAGGGTAAAATTGGTAAGGGAAAAATACATGGCATTGTCGTGATGTCATCAATGATGCGTTATGAACAGTATATTCACAAAGTTGACTAAATTTGCATATTCTCTTTTGAAATAAACCATTCAAACAGGGTTTTTTTTTACGGGGAATTGAATAGGGCGCTTCGTCAAAAAACTTTGTCAGCCTAGCATCACTGTCCTCTTTTATTGTTTTGGGGATTATAACAACGTAATTTATTAGTTTTTACTAAAATTCATTAAAAAATTTATTTTTAGGTGAACAAAACAGGCTTCGTACACGGCAGCAGTAAAAATGAAATGTGTCACTTTGTGATGGTCAATTCCACGGCGCCTCTCTCTCTCTCTCTCTCATCCTTCAATTTTCCTTAAATCACTAGCTGTCCACGATTTGTCGGTCGTACACGCTTTACATAAATCCCTCCTCCACCTATACTTAAAACCCTTCAAATCCCAACAAAGCCCACTTTTTTCTCTTCATTTCTTGTTTGTAGTCTTCGTCTTCCCATTTTAGGCTGCAACTGTTTTTGAATACCAATCAATTGTTATGGCATTGAGGGCCTTGTTTATGCTTGTAGCTATCATGGCTACTTTGTTTTCTACAATGACTCAGGATTAGTTCGGAATGGCTCCGGCGCCGTCACCTGACCACGGTGCAGGGTACTCGCCCCCGGTTGGTCCCTATCTTTTGGAAATGAAAATTGTTGGAATAGTACTTTTTTTGAAAAATGAGTGGTGGAAAAAAAAAATTTCAATTTACGTATAATATTATTTTATGGAAGATTGTGTAGCTGAAAATAGGAGAGAAAAAGATGAAATGTAATGAAATGCAAATTAATGAAATTCAGCTAAATTTGTCGGTTTCTGCTGCAGTTATGGGTTCTTCAATCATTCTGTCTTTGTTGATCCTCATCAAGAGCTAGATTGATTATTAATACTTGATGGTTTTTAGATTCTTGATGATTCACTGATTCGTCTATCATTTGACTAACTTGAAATTTATCGAGGAAGATCCCTTAAATCATGCCAATGACAAGGAATATGATTCTTATGCTTAAATCTAGGCAAAATCTCATAGCCATGGAATTTGTCTAATTGCTAAAAATGGTGTATAAGTGCTGTATGATTCTGTAAATCGAAAGTGTGGAAAATTCTCATTAACTTGAACATTAAGAAAAATCAATTCTACCTTACAATTCCATTAAAATTTGAGCGACTAAACATGTATTTTACGCATCTTGTGCGTATTGACAGTAATAACATTGTCTAAGAGCATCTTCAATTGCGATCAAAATTAGGTTTAAATTATAATTTAGACATTTAAAGTGGTCGAAAATGCATTTTTTGACAAGAAATAATAATAATAATAATAATAAGAAGAAGAAGAAGAAGAAGAAGAAGAAGAAGAAGAAGAAGAAGTTACATTTTTTTTTAGATGCTATGGGATCCACAAGAGAAAGAAAAATTGTCAATCACTTGCACCCAATTTTTTTAATCTTCTCATTGATGCAGAATTTGGATTTAGATTTATTGGGATGTAAATGAGAATGTAAAAGTGATTTTGAAAATATCAATTTTACATCAACATTGAAGGTGCTCTTAATATTTCAGAAATTCTTGCACTAAATCCTACATATGTATAAGAGCGAATGGATGGATTGGACTGGACAAGTGTCAAAAATATTCATCGTCGTGTACGAATTTCTCTCTTTTGTTTTTTTTTTTTTTCTTTGCACAAAATTAGTAAAATCATGATTTTTCAGCACAACCATGTCTTCACCTTTTCTCAATTTACGTCAATCTGACAAAAAGAATACCCTTTTTCCATTTTCCTACACTACCGACAACTCCTCTTCAACAAATTCATCTTACCAAACGAGAAGGCTTCTAAAGAAACATCAACGAAACTATCGAAAGCTTGCAGGAGAAGAAATTTTTCCGAGGCTCGTCTATAAGTTGAGTGTCTGGTGTTATGGTTCTCCAAAAATTTACAGAATAATATATAATTGTTGTTTATCAATCACTAAGTGTGTGTTGTGTGTGATTCTTCTTCATTTGATTTTGAATTAATCGTCATTTTTCATAATTTTTGTTTGATTATTGTGTTTCGTCTTAGATTTGCATAAACGAGCATAGTATTAGTTCTGTTCAAAATAGTTTCGTGATGATGGTGAATTCTAGCTTCTGAGAGAATTTTGTAAGAACTATACTATTAAAATTAATTTCTCTTACTTAGAAACTATTCAGCGACGAGAAATGCTTGTAAATTTCACACTTGCCTTCGTAATAAAGGGATACAAAAGGCCAATCCTGGAGGTTGAATAGTGATTATTGGACGAGATCAGGAGAAATGGGTAAACTGTGCTGGTTTTGGAGGACTCAAAGAGGGAGATTCATTTGGGATAAAATTCGTCTCTGGAGTAATTAGTCTAATAACCAGGTCTGTGCTTTTCTCCCACTTCATTTTAAATTTTAAAATCTCTTTTTTTCTTGCATATTTCATGGAAAATGTGTCTTCTTAGGTCTAGAATTAGTGTAAAATTTGTGCATATTTTATCAGGTAAATTGGATGGACAATTTTGGAAAAGAAAAAAAATAGTTTATAATCTTGTTTATGTGCGATGGCCTTTTGTAGGATTTAAAGAAAATGTGATTAAAATCTGGTTGGAAAGTGCAGAGTTAATTAAATGGATGCTCACTGAATTATACCACTGGTTACCACTTGTTCACCGAAAAATAAATGGTAACTGAATGCTCACTCAACTTTCAATTAATTTACCCATCCATCACAATCCGTCTGTATAGTTGGCCAATAAATTCCACGTGGAGGATGAAAACTTGACATCGCAATGACTAAGTTAGTTGAATAGATGTTGGATAAGAATGCAATTGTTAAATTAGCAATTTTATTACATTTTCCTTCTAAAATGACGATCTCCATAGAAGAGAGAAATCTGAAATCCCCAATTGAAACCTAACCCTATGAAGAACCAAATTCGTCAATAAAATCTCTTCATCCACTTCTCAGAATCATAAGATTGGCTTCTATCTGTCGGTATTGCAGAAGTAAAGAGATGGGCTTATATCTTACTAGTATTGCAGTAGTAATTCAGCATTCAATGATCGATTCTTTGAGAAAGAAACCTTAGCAAGGAAAACTAAGGAAGAAAATCGAATGGATTCTTCACAATTTTACTTTTGGATTCTTTTTTTTCGAATGAACTCATCAAGCCATATCCAGAGCTGCAATTTGCCAAAGGTCGTCAGTGAATTGATGCAGACTTCACACCTCCATCTTCTTATGAAATTTCATCATGTAGATTTAATTGTAGATGAATCATATAACCAAATTTTTTTATTTTTTATTTTTTATCAAGAACGATGCAGACAATTGGAATGAACTGTGCAGTGTAAATTTCAATTAATTGGGATGTGGATATAGAACTTCTTGGATATGGACTGAAATTACCAATTGAATGAGTTAGATTAGAAGATGTGATTTGAAGATGAAGAAGATTTGGGGATAAATTTTATCTCTGATTTCTTAGAACTGTGATTTTGGCCGCCCAGAAAACAATTGTTAATAATTTATGATTTTGGGATTTTAAAAATAATAATTTTAGATTACGTGGACATAATTCATCGTCCAAGTCATTTTTTTATATCTACGTGGAATTTATTGGCTAGCTGTACAGACAGATTTAGATATAGTAATGGATGGGTAAATTAATGAAAAGTTGAGTGAGCATTCAGTTATCATTTATTCTTCAGTAAGCAAGTGGTAACCAGTGGTATAATTCAGTGAGCAGCCATTTAATTAACTCGAAAGTGCACGCAGCACTCTTCGTGCAGCACGGAGAGACCACTCCGTGCAACAATTTTTGGAGAGATTTTTTTTTCTTCCTTTTTTTTCCAAATTTTAAATGGATTAATTGTAACTTTCATTGAAACTCCATCCTAGATAGAGGTTTTCTCAATTCAGGATGGACAAACTCTCAAATTTTATCATAAAACGAAAATAATTAAAAAGAATTTTAAATTGAAAAAAATTATTTATAATATGAAGAAAAAAGAAATTTTAAAACAATTTCTAAAAATATATAAATTTGTAGGTTTTTTGAATGATAAAAAAAGTGAAAAAGAAAAAGGAAAACGAGGAATAAATTTCACTCCATCTAGCATGGAGGTTTATGAAGAAAACCTCCATTCCATGTT